CCCTGTATAATATCTGCCTACATATACATAAGACACTATGCGCACGGACCACCCGGCGCCTCCCATTTAGCCCAACCCGCGGGCTAATATCCCAGTGGTGTGGCGTAGCTCGCCAGAATCCAACACTCCCCCTCGAGCCAGCCACCCCTGCACCCCTCTTGCCTTACCAGGCAAATCCCTCGTCGCTAGCGACCCCCGCGTTATAGGACTTCGTGCGGGCCGGACATCCGAGTGCCAGATGATCCGTGCTCCCGCAGAGGAAGCATGCGCGCGCCTTTCTCTTCTTCTTCCCACCGGCTACGGCTAGCGCCGTTTCGGACATGGTCTTCCCCCGGCCTACTCGGGCTTCCTCGTTGAGCGCCAGTGCCGCTACCTGCTCCACGGTCCATAGCTTCCGGTCGACCGCGTCGAGCTTCGTCTCGACCATATTGAGCTCCTCGCGGAGTCCAACGACCGCTATGATGGCCTGCAGCTTCTTCGGCACCTCTTCGCCTATCGCCTCTAAGCCCCGCACTAACCCTCGGACCCGACCAATCCACCCTTCCACCGACTCTTCGGCGGTCATACCTGCGTTTAGGAGCGCCCTCCATCTCGTGACCTCAGTGGCGAGCCCCCGGCTCATGTGCACAGCCTTGAGCTGATCCCACATGTTCTCTGGGTCTCGCTCCCCCTGAACGTGGACAAGTTGATCGGCTTCCAGATGAAGCACAATCTCACCCCATGCCCTTTTCACCAGTTTCGCATCCCGTGCTGCCCTCGCTGCCTCTATGGCCTTCTGCGTTTCAGCCTCGGTCGCGCCAACCTTGTACTCGAACTCCACGACCTCCCATAGCCCCTTCCTAGTCAGCTCTGCCTCCATGTACATCGCCCACTGTGCATAGTTACTCCCATTGAGCGGCATGAACTTGGCGTCCTTGTTGGTGGCTGCTGATTCGGTAGACATCGTCGAGAGAGAGAGATTAAAGGTGAGTGATCGGTTTGTGTTGACAGTTCGCACCAGACTGGGCTAGCTGTAGGGTAATGCACGTATACCGAGGGGCAAACCGATGCCCCCCCCTGTATAATATCTGCCTACATATACATAAGACACTATGCGCACGGACCACCCGGCGCCTCCCATTTAGCCCAACCCGCGGGCTAATATC